CCGGTGCTTTCCCTAATTTCAATTGTTGAATTGCTGAGGTAATTTCCTCCTTAGTAATTAAACCATTAATTTCATATTTCTGATCCTCAGTCAGTTTAGGAAAACTTGCCTCAGCTAAATATTTATTTATATCTAGCATTTGTATATTAGTAGATTTATATAGGTTTTGATAATAATCCAAAAAAGATTTTTTAATCAATTCCTTCTGAGAAACTAATTTACCCTTATAGTTTATTTTCTCTATTATTCTTTGTCTCTGTTTCTTTCTTAATTGATAAGCCAACCATCTCCCAGGCTTATTGGCATTACAAAATGTATTTTGTTTCATAAATAATAAGTTGGTTGCAGCTTGATCTGCTATCAACATATTAAATTGTGACCTTAATAACTTTACAGATTCTTTAATACTCTCATCAGAAGGATTTAAAATCAAAGCCCTTTCTTTTAATTTAATTTCATCTTCAAGTTCTCTACGTTTCTGAATCTGATTTCGCTTATAAAAATTATTCATTTTTATCAAAACACCGCGCATAAATGCTTTACCTGCATCCCATACCATTGACATTGAAGTCCCCTTATACATATTCAAAGCAAAATAGTCCTTTAAACACTCCTTTAGTTTTTGAACATTCTTTTCTTGTCTAAACAAATTTTCATTAACTCTCCAAGATCTTCTTTCCTCTTTCTCTTGAATCAGCTCCATCCAAACTGGACTATGATCCGTCAGTGATCTAGGAAAAATCTTTACATTCTTTACTTTATTATACAAGTCCGTGGTAATCAAGAAAAAGTCAATTCTTGAAAAAGATTGGTGTCTATCAGAAAAAAAAGTAAAGTCTCTCTCCTCTTGATTACGTTCCCGCCAATAATCCCTTAATTCCCAGTCTTCTTTCATGTCAAAAAAGGCTTTAGGTAGCCTTGCTTGTTTAAGAAAAGGAGAGGAACCTTTCTTATCCCTTAGTGTATCTAAGACACCATTCCAATCACCCATTAATACCACTGATCTATAATCAAGCAAAGTTATTTTTTGATGTAACTGTTTATAAAATTGTTCCTGTTGTTGATTTGGAGCGTAAAGTCCAACTATAAGTACTTTCTTACCATATATACCAAGTTCAATCATCACATATCTCCCCTGGGGATCTGATTCTACCAGACAAGCTGGTAGGTTTTGTTTAACATATATAACAACTCCCCCTTTCTTCCCAGGAGCAGGAGATATAAAATGAGATCCCAAACGAGCATTAACTAAATATTTCTGGTCTTTAAGTAAAATATGAGTTTCCTGTAGACAAATAACATCATTGGTATGTTGCTTCAAATAATAAAAGATTTTTTTCCGTTTCTGAGGAGAATTCAATCCATTAACATTCCAGGTCAAAAACTTTGCCATCTCCCTTGGCACGCAGCCTGGAGAAGACACCATCAAAATCTGACAGAGCTGCGTGTGTTGCATAACTCTTGGGTCTTGCTCCTCCCACCGGCGGTGAAGCACTTCCAGGAGAACTCTCTTTGGGCTCTTTTTTACGTTGCTCCTTCTCTTTACGCTTATAGGCTGCACGAGTCATCCTCTGCTCTTTAGCCTCCGTCTGGCGTTGCTTTGCCGCTTCTATCATCCCTGCGGAAACCAAATCTAATGCCTCAGATTGCTGCTCAGCTTCCTTACCACTCAAAGATTTCCGACCAGATGAAGTTGAGCCTGCACCCAGGACCGAAGTATAAAAATCTCTAGCTTTATCAACTGTGTTCAATCTGTAGCGTGTCCCAGCATGGCTCAAAACAATACCCATCGGAATTTCCCATCTAAATGGCATCGATCTAGCTTTAAGCTCATTGGTTAAAAAAGCAAAGTCTTTTCTACTTCTTAAAATTTTGGATGGGATTTCCTTTAGAATGATGACATCTTGGGCGGCAATCTGAAATCTTTTGTTGTAAAAGGCTTGTATAATCTCATTCCGCAGGGACTTCTTTGTAAAGTAAATCACCACATCTCTAGGCAAATTCTTCTGCTTAGCAATCCAGGAGTTGAGTCTATAAATTTTTTCCACTTCTCTCTGTAATTCTCCTTTATCCATATCCAAGGCCAGCGCCAGATCAGTAAGGACCACCTCCACCAAATCTTGATTGATATCTTCCTTGAGGCCTCTAATCCTCAGAGCATACTCCATCTGTCTATACTGAAACATCAAAATATCTTCTTGTGAGGAGTCCACCTTCCTTTCCACGTCTTGAATTTTGTCATCCAAAGAGTCAACTTTGTCTTCCACTTCCTCAAGCCTTGCGTCGAGCTTAACCACCACAGTAGCCAAACCTGAAACAGCTGCCAATATATCTTGTCGTAGTTCATTATTATTTTCTTGCAATTTAGACTTTATCCCCGTTATCTCTTCTTTGAGATCAGATTTAATTTCTGATTTAATCTGTGAAACAAATTGATTCATTTCCTCTCTCATTTGAACTACAATCTCTCCCATTATGCCTCTAACCTCTTGTACTGAAAGTCCAGGTAGAGGAGGGGAGGGTGGTGGCTGAGCCGGTGGTACATGTTTAGATTGTTGTTGTAGCTGTGCAGTGGAAGTTATAGGAGAAGAAATAACCTTAGGTGCTGAGGAAGGCTGCTGCCTCTTTGAAGCCATTTTAAAAAGCACAATTGTCACTTCCCTTTCCCCTCCAGCCAAAAAGGGAGGAGGAAAGAAAAAAAAAATTTTTTAAAAAGAGACAAACTATAGTCATTAAAAGTCCAGAGTAAATCCAAAGAATAAGTAGTAAAAGAGCAAACAGTTCAAAAGAAAAAATTCTAAACCAAAAGCAAAAGCAGAAGCAAAAAACAGTCCTTAGAAAGGGAAAGTAAAACAAAAGAGAAAGGAAAAAAAACTCCGACAGTTTCAAAACGCCATCTTAAATCCTTTCACTAGTATAACAAAAAAAAGGAGGAAAAATAGTAAAAATCAAAAGATAAAAAAATAAACACCTAAAATATAACAAAAAATCCTTTAAACTGCTCCGTCCGTTTAAAAATTACTCACCAAAATGCTGTAAACACGGAGATAGAAGCGGCGGTTTCTTTTGCTTCCTAGGAAGCAAAAACAGCTGGGAGGCGGAGATCAGCAAGAGCTCCGAGGGAACACTCCTTTCACCCCCTCTAGAAATAAATCCAGAGGGGGTTCAGGGGTTCTACCTCTACTCTTGCGTTCTCTGTCCCTTCCCTTTGCCCGGGAAGGGATTTCCGAGCCGCGGGCCAGCTGATGCGCGCTGCGCTCCGCGGCTCTGACACTTCCCCAGCTGGACGGCTAAAAGCTAGCCGCCATCGCCGTCGCCTCCCACCGGAAGCTCAGCATTACAGTATTTTAAGACAAAAATTGAACATGTGTTTCAGAAGCAATGGGAGAAAATAAAAAAAATAAAGGGAAATAACAGGTTCATAAGCAATAACAGCAGAATAAAAGAGATCAAATGAGATCTCTGATGGGACAGAGCACATAATTGCTGGTTTGGGTGAAAACATACAGAATTGCAACATGCCTATGCCTATGAATAATAATACAATAGCAACTGTTATCTTCCTGTATTAATTGAAATATCAAAAATACACTCCTTAATGAATTATAATTTGAATGATAATTTAGCATTAGATTTCATACAGTAAAAGCAAGATGTTGGCTATGATATGAGAAGCACACTTTTATATAAGAATAATAAATAGATGCATTGATTATATCTAATTTGTTTTCTAATTTGAGAATAATCACTCTCCAGATCATATTCAATTTTTTTTATCACTTTTAACTTAGGAATGTTCTTTCAGATAAAGAAGATGGACTGAAGATAAATCCATATGAAAGAGTGATATCTTACTATATTTAAAAAAAAAAATCCACCATGACATGATTACAACAGGCTCCAGCCACAACAATCCTGCAGAATTCCACAGATGTTCATCATAATGCTTCTGAAACACTTGAACAAACTGTGGTTTGCATCTGAAAGGAAAAGTGTACTTCAAATCATATTTGAGTGTGCGTGCGATATGGATGTTTCTGACTCCTTAATATGGATCATGAATAAAAGGATGTTGTAAATATTTAGCTCATAGTTCAAGAGGTTTGCATTCTACCTGTGATGGATCCAAGTCAATACAGGTGGCTGTAGATTCTGATAGTAAGGCATCACATTAGTGCCAAGCCCTAAATCACAATTTTATCACATTGTCAGATGAAAGTTGGTCCAGCTCCTTAAGAAGAATGATTATTAACTCCTGTAAGAATAACATGGATTCTGGCTACTCAAGTGCATTGTTCAGATCTCCTTCCCTTTTTGAAAGCAATTCTCATGTTCCAGACCTGTCTTCCTGTGACATATTGCTTCAAGTACCTCCTTCTCCTTGCCTTGTTATGAGACCTTTGTCTTGGCTTTTGGACAGTCATTTGTGAAATGTTCTAGCATCTGACCTACAGAGTGTCTTGAGCTAGTCTCTTCAAAATTTCTGACTTCAAACGCTCCTGGCTAGCAAGTTGCAGAACTTGGCATAGTTACAATTTTTTTTTAAATCTGATTGAATATGCTCGCTCTTTGAAGAAATGGCAAGCACTTATTGCTGCCTCAGGATTTACAGTACATCAAAAAAAAAAAAAAAAAAGCTCTCAAGCTTGTAATTGCAGATCTTATTGTCTGCATCAATGTCAAGTTTGTCCAGGACAACTTGGCCTTCTTTGTAGCTTCATAAAACCAAGTGCATTCTTTTTTCATACATTATCCAGTTGTTGTGGAGGGTAAAGGGTAATTCTGGGGAAAGATGCAGCTGTTTTAATCAATTCCCAATCAATGTTATATCAGTACCCTGAAGTATACTTTTACTTTAAATCCAAAACACTGCATCACTCCAATGCTCACACACATTGTCTCAAATGAACTAATCTTTCTAACTTTCTTTCTGACTTCTTATTGATTTTCTAATTATCATTTGATACTGGTGCTTAAAACACTCTCATGGGTCAACTTACCTTATTTGGATTGATGGCTGTGATAACCCAAACACACTGAGCATTACTGTCATACTGGAAAGGAAAATTGGGGGATGTGAAAGTGCCACCTGGTCCCTGAAGATTAGATCCACATGTCTTTACTGCAAAACAAAGAATCAATGTTATGTTTCAAATTAGGTCTTAATTACATTTTTGTTTGCATTCATCTCACATCCCTTAAAATGTTTAGAGTTACACAATAGGGCAAGGTGAAGTTCAGATATTAATTGTGAAAATCCAATCATGATTCATCAGGACTTACTCAAACAGTCCTTTATCTACTGGAGAGATGCTTTCACAATAAAACACATTTCTCCCAATCTCAATAAAGGCAAGATCCACACATATCCCCCATGAGAATTTTTTTTTTCAAAATATGCTTCTCCTTGAAGTGGGGTAGGGTGAGGAGAATGAAAAAAAATCTTTTGCATCAGTCAGAGCCACAATGGCTGAAAAAATGCAACATATATTTGTAGCAATTGTGCCAAATAATTGGGCACTTAGCACATTTTGAATGGAAAGAGATTCAAGAAAAATAAGAGTATAATTCATATAATCCAAATATAGAACCACTACTTATGTGGAGTGAAGTCATGCAGGGTTTATGTGAATTCATTTATTGATATGTTTATTTGTGACTAGGATTATGATGTGGAGTAAGTAAATATAATACAAGCCATCACTGTGCAGAAGCCATTTTGTTAGAAAGAGAGGGGACACAACAGGAACAAGAAATGTTATCATAGGAACAACAGAGATGAATCATAGAGTAGCAATATGTCAAAAGAAACAAATACAATAGAGATGAATGATAGAGCTGCATATAAGGTAAACATAACACCCGTAACATCTTCCCCTTTTCATGTTAACCAAACAACATTGTGAAATTTTGGATGAGAACTAGCAACAACACTTCCTATACGTTAAGTCTGTTGGTGGTTGCGAACATCTGCCACTATGGATGAAGACTGGCCCTCTTTGTACTAAAAGTTTCTCTGACCTCACTGAGTTTACTGGGCTCTTCTCACCATTTACTGGGACATTCTGCAGAACAGAAAAGAATACAATAAGCATTGGAAGGGACCTTGGAGGTCTACTTGTTCAACCCCCTGCTCAAGCAGGAAACACTATGGTATTCCAGACAGGTGGGTGTCCAGTCTCTTCTTAAAAGCTTCCAGTGATGGAGCACCCACAACTTCTGAAGGCAAGCCGTTCTACTCCAATTGTTCTCATCGTTGGGAAATTCCTCCTTAGTTCTAGGTTGCTTCTCTTTCCTTGATTAGTTTTCATCAATTGCTTCTTGGCTTGCTTTCTGGTGCTTTGGAAAATAGGTTGACCCCCCTCTTATTTGTGACAGTCCCTCAAATATTGGAACACTGCTATCATCTCACCCCTAGTCCTTGTTTTCATTAGACTAGTTAAACCCAATTCCTGCAGCTGTTTTTCATATATTTTAGCCTCCAGCCCTCTAATAACCTTTGTTGATCTTTTCTGCACTGTTTCCAGAGTCTATAGATGCATGCATGCATACATACATACATACATACATACATACATACATACACACACACATATATAAATATGATGACCAAAACTGGATTTGATATTCTAAGTGTTATCTTTTTAAGGCTTTATATATCAGTACTGATACTTCATGTGATCTTAATTCTATCCTTCTGTTAAGGCAACTTAGGACTGTGTTGGCTTTTTTGACTGCTGTTACACACTGCTGGCTCATATTTAAGTGATTGTCCGCTAGTGAGAGAACTGAGAGATTGCAATCAATAACCTAAATGATCATTTCCAACTGATTCCATAAACCATCAAGATTCACTTATAAATATGTAGAGCAATGTCCTTGATATTCAGAGTACAAATGAAATATCTTTATACCTCTTGCTGCAATAAATAACTAAAAAGGCTGTAATGAGGGCATCCAGTTAATGGACTGAACTTAGGAACAGAGACATGTGAGAATGATGTAACTGCTGCAAAAGTAGAAAGCTAATCTGGAGAAGACTGAGAAAGAGGAAAACCAGACATTGAAACAGGCCAACTAAGTTTTTAATAAGTTTTAAATATACTGTATGCTTTAAAATGCAGGGAGTCCCTGCAGATTTTACTCTGCCAGTTGTTGCTGACTATAGGGGAGGACATGTTCATCTCAATTTCAAGGCCATTGAGCCAGCATTGTCCAAAGATATTTCTGTGACTATGTGGCCAGCATGACATCATGAAGCCTTGTTACCTTCCCACCAAAGTGGTACTTATTTATCTACTCAAATTTGTATGATTTCAAACTGCTAGGTTGGCAGGAGCTGGGCTGAAGATGGGAGTTCACCCCATCATGTGGTGTTTGGGTCTTGAACTTGGGGTGCCGGTTTTCCAGCTGATAAGCCCAGCATCTTAACTGCTGAGCCACTGTAAAATACACGGGATGGAGAAATTTGGTAAACAATAAGATTGTCAATAAACTAGTAAGAAAACAGTTTAAGTGATGTGCAGATAACCCTACTAACTACCATATGTTATTTCTGACATTTTAAAAAAGAAAACTATTAAAAAGTAGCTTACTACTGCCAGAGAACAGAAGGTGCTTTATGTTCACGCTTTGTGCTTAATGGTGCATGTAACTAAGACCCTGAGTCCAATAAACTGTTTTAAAGAACAATATTGAAAAGAAATACAGATTTTAGAAATTTCATAGAAGACATTTGAACTATAATTCCATTCCAAATTCTACAATCGAAATTCAGATATTCTTCTGAAACATCTTTTTCTTCCATATGTATATCTGACAGCTGTTGCTATTTATAAAGCATTTCAGATATTTTATGAAGTAATATATTCAAAAGTCATGTCCCATAATCACTTTTGTCATTGCCATCTGCTATATTATGGAGAAACGACAGGTTTTAATTAAGGAAAAAAAATTGTATGAGTTCGGAGATTAAGCACCAAAAATATAATAATGAAACTCATGTTAGGGTAAACAGATACAGATTTATATAAAACCTAAGCACAAATTATTCTGATTCTCTTGCATTAAATCAAATCTTTTAACATTTATTTTTGTTAAAAAATGAGTGCAGAGGGAGTCAAAATAGCAAAGTATAATAGAGCAAAAGTTCAAGAAGTCTCTTGTACAGGTGTTGGGTGAGACAGATGAAAGATGGTATTTATACTTCCAGCTGATTTTAGGGGGAAATTTTTTTTTAGTAGTTATTCTGCAACATAATTAGACTGCATAAGGAACATAACTACAAAATGAGGCCCAGTGTTCCTTTCCTAAATGAAAGAAACAGACATAAGAAACTTTCAGAAAAGAATGCAATTTTCAAAGGAAAAATAGCATTTGGGATTAAAGCAACAAGGTAGTGACAATACATAAGTACTTAAGAACCAAAATGTAAGCATTTCCGAATAATTATATGAAACTACTTTCCTTCAGCCATTATTCTTAACAAAAGGGGCACAACATCTGATACCTTCATTAAGACAGCTCCTGATATGTCTATTAGAGCAACAAAAACAATTAAAGTCTGGAGGCTAAAACATATGAAGAATGGTTGCAGGAATTGGGTATGTCTAATTTAGTGAAAATAAGGACTAGTGATAACATGATAGCAATGTTCCAATATTTGAGGGCTGCAAACAAAGAAGGGGGGGTATCAACCTATTTTTCAAAGCATCAGAAGGCAGGACAAGAAGCAATGGAGAGAACCAACCTAGAATTAAGCAGAAATTTCCTGAGAGCAGGAACAACTAATCAATAGAATGGCTTGCCTTCAGAGGATGTGTGTGCTCCATCACCAAAGGTTTTTAAAAGAGAGTGGGAAGTCATTTGTTTGAAATGGTATAGAGGCTTCTACTTGGGCTAGAAGATCTCCAAGGTCCCTTCCAATTCTGTTATTCTGTTCTACTATTCTTTGGTTTTGGAGATTCATGTCTTATTTGTTAAGGATAAATGATCCTGTGGCATGCCCTCAAATCCCTTAATAAAAGCTTATTGAAGAACACTTTGTTCTACATTTTTGAAGCTCAATATATGTGAATTTTGTTAACAGTTCTCATACACAGATACATTAGTGAAATGCATGGTTTTATTAATGCAGTTGCTTCAATTGCACCATTGGGGATACCGTCTTGACTTTTTTGATCATATCCTATAGAAACACCAAAACTAAAGTAAAGTAAAATAAAAGAGCTGCTAATGGCCACCTAGTCCCTTAAATAAATAAAAATAAATCCAGAATAATTGAAAAGCTCAAGATAAATTATATATTACAGCAATGTGTTTCATTAAAGAAAAACTAAAAAGATCCTGAAAAGTAGAAAAATGAAAGGGAGGACAAAGACAAATAAGAAACAGATTGGATACTACAAGAAACATCTAGTCTCATAACAGAGAGCAGGTTAGTGTAGTGGTTAAGGCATGAGGCTAGAATCCCAGAGAGCATGAGTTCTAGTCTATAAAGCCAATGAGCCTCCCAGTCTCCTAAGAAGAAGAAAGCAATGGCAAACAATTTTGAAATCTTTTCAAAAAAACTACAGGGACTTGCTCAGATAGTTCCCAGTTCAAGAATGACTCAATGTTACATACAAAAGTCTTAAAGCAACAAGATAATAATGGGGCTATGGGTTGGCCAACAAACATCTCCACTGTAATTCTGGATATTAATGTTTATGCGGTATATTTTTCATAAATACAATATGTGATCATTGCTATTTGGCATGCAGTCTAGATAGATGGAATCCAACCAGCCGCCATTACCTTCTTTGTTAAACTGCACCTGTCCTTATTAGGAGTTGATACTGATGGCTTATCTCAATTGTTGGAATGTGTGTGGATCTAGCTATTCAGAAATGAAATAATCCTGATTTCAAAGAAGCATACTCTCAGGTAGGTGGTATAGCATGTTCACCTACAAAGGTGTGTTTCAGTGAAATGGTAACATAAAAAATGTAGCATTTATGCATGATTTGGCTTGATTCTTATTTATGACCACATCAATATTGTCTTTGAAACCTCAACCATACTACTAAAGAAAAGAGGAAATTCTGATGATAATGAGTCAGAAGAAGCAGCCTTCTCATGTAT